TGCACAGCATGAGAGGGGTAAAATGATCTATGACCCCCAGAAGGTTAGCTACTGATAAGGAGTAAATTAAAATAGGAAAAGGTTAATAAATGAAGATAGCATGTTCCCATCTTCTTATTTTCTTGACTTTGCTAACCACTGTGCATTTTTTAGTAGAATTTTTTCCGTAGGCATGTTTCACAGGTGTCCTGTTTACTGTGTGGGTGGAATTTGTATAACCTGGGATGTCATTTGAAGTTCTGACCAGCTTTTCTGAAGAGTTGTGTATATTTTTGAAATTTTAATTAATGAAATTATGACTTTTAAGAAATTAAGGAGTACTTTTAAACTTTTTTTTAACTAGTAGAATCTGTCATCTTTTTTTTCTGATCTCCTAAGTTTTTGTTAATTTTCTGTTTTCTTACAAAAAATCTTTTGAAACTTAGAAAATACAGATAAGCAGAAAGAAGTATAATTTGAATCACAGTAATCCAACAACTCAGAGGGGCCTCTTGTTACCACCATTTTATAAGTGTGTAGATTAGTCTAAACTCTGAATGGATGGATCCTAGACAGCGTATTAAAAATACATGTGGAGGGCGCCTGGATGGCTCATTTGGTTGGGCGACTACCTTCAGTTCAGGTCATGATCCTGGAGTCCCAGGATCGAGTCCCGCATTGGGTTCCCTCCTCAGCGGGGAGTCTGCTTCTCCCCCTGGCCCTACCCCCCTCTTGCTCTCTCTCTTTCCCTCTCTCTCCCCCTCTCATTCTCTCCTTCAGATAAGTAAAATCTTTAAAAAAAAATGCATGTGGAAATATACAGACTGAGAAGATGGCAGCATAGGAAGACCCTAAGCTCACCTCATCCCACAGGTACAACTAGATGTCAGTGTGAATAACCCAGGAAATGACCCGAAGGCTGGCAGAACAAACTCCTCAACTAAATGTAGAGAAGATGCCACATTGAAGAGGGTAGGAAGGGCGGAGACATGCTGGGGAGCTAAATGGACCATGGGTGTGGAAAAGGGGAAGAAGAAGGCTATCGCACTGGGGAGCCCACATGGGGAAGATGAATCCCCATAATATTGGGCTTTGAAAACTAGAGGGGGTAAAGTTTAGTGACTTACTACAATCAGCAGGACTTAAAGCCTGCAACTTTAAAAATCAGCAAGTTGGGTTCTGGGAGAACCTGGCCACTGAGAAGAAACTGAGTCCCTGCCCTTAAAGAGACAGCATAAGAAACAGCCTGTGGAGATACAACATAGGAGCAGTGAATTTTGGAACACTGAAAAAAATTTAAAAAAAAGGGGGGGGGGAATGTCTAGGGCACAGGGAGGAAGAGTTATTTACTCATCTCAGAGCCTGTCCCAGAGCGGTAATGTTCACAGGGAGTATCCTCCAAGAACAGAGGAACTACTAGGTGTCATTTCCCTCCCCTGCCTCCCAGCATAAACACGTGGCCACCTGCAGCCACCTGCAGGAACCAGTTTAGCGCCCACATTTGCTACCTAGCTTGCTTACACTACTCCCTGCCTCCCCACTCCTCCCCAGCTCTGGGGATTTGCCCACTCCAGCTGGGCTTGCCTCAGTCCCAGCGCTGTGGATCCCCTCCCTGAGAAGACCTGCTCACATTTTGCAAACCACGCACTATGTGGGGGCCTCGGCAGTGGTGGTGGCAGCCAGTACCCTCTCATGGAAGATGGGCGAATGCCTTGTTAAGCTGTGTGCCCACCTGCTCACTCTTTGTGGATCCACACGGGCTGGCCCTGTGGTGGTGGTAGGTCTCCTTTCACAGCAAACCCGAGTGCACCTTGGTAAAAATCCATGCCCTACCCCTGTATGCTTTATGGATTGGCCCAGCCACTGTGGTCTCAGAGGTAGCGTCATGTCCCCTCTCCCTGGTGCACAAACCTGTGGGCTCTGCAAACCTCCCTCCTGAGCACATGGCAGATCCTCCTCCTCCAATATGCTGTTGGCCAAAGCCCATTCAAACCGAAGCACAAGCCACAAGAAAAGTGTGCTAGCAGCCTGGACAGGGACCAGCACCACGCCAAAGTGATTCCTGTCCTGGGGAGAGAGAAAGATAAGCACCACATTGGTCAGGCTTTGGCCTCCACCATGGGTTGGGGACAGACAATTCGTCTGATCGTGGGCCCTGCCCACCAATGAAGGCTTCTCAGGGGACAACACAGGGAAGGTGCTCTGTGGTTCGGTGCTATTGCATCTCTGCCAAACACTTGGTCTGGCTCAACTCAAGCACAAGGCAGCACCAGCCTGGCCCACTAACAACATAGGAGACCCCCCTGAAGCGCCAGGTTCTGGTAAACAGGGGAAAGTGCCCTGAAGAGCACCACAGGTCTTCTTCATAAAGCCACTACTTTCAAGAGCAGGAGACATAGCTGACTTTCCTAACACACAGAAACAGATGCAGAGAGTTAGACAAAATGAGGAGATAGGGGAATATATCTCAGATGAAAGAACATGACAAAACCACAGTAAGGGTCCTAAACACAATGGAGATAAATAATATGCCTGATAGAGAATTTAAAGTAATGATTATAAACTTTTTTAAAGATTTTATTTATTTGACAGAGAAATCACAAGTAGGCAGAGAGGCAGGCGGGGGGCCGGGGCAGCAGCCTCCCTGCTGAGCAGAGAGCCCGATGCGGAGCTCAATTCCAGGACCCTGAGATTGTGACCTGAGCCAAAGGTAGAGACTTAACCCACTGAGCCACCCAGGTGTCCTTAAAGTAATGATTATAAAGATGCTCACTGGACTTGAGAAAAGAGGGGAGGACATTGGTGATACCCTTAACAAAGAGATAAGAATCAAAGCAATGAAATACAAATGAAAAACAAATGAAATAAAAAATACACTATATGAAATAAATAGCAGAGTACAGGAAGCAGAAGAATGAATCAGCAACCCGGGAGGAGGATAGAGTAATGGAAAGTAATCAAGCTGAGCAGGAAAGAGAAAAGTGACAAAGAATGACACTATATAATCATAAAGCATACAATCCAACAAGAAGATATAACAATTGTAACTATACACCGAACATGGGAGCACTCAGATACATAAAACAGTTAATAATAAACTAAAGGAAGTAATGGATACCAATACAATAATATTAAGGGACTTTAAGGTCACCCCACTTAACATCGATGGGCAGATCATCCAAATAGAAAATCAACAAGGAAACCAAGGCTTTGAATGACACACTGGGCCAGATGGATTCAACAGACATATTCAGAACATTCTACCCTAAAATAGCAGAATACACATTCTTTTCAAGTGCACATGGAGCATTCTCCAGGACAGATTTCAAAAGAAGGCCACAAAACGACTCTCAATAAATGCAAAAAAATTGAAGACCTACCAGACTGATTACCAGCAATGAAATTGATATGTAAAAAACCCACAGCTAACATCATACTCAGTGGGGGGTAAAAGAACTTTTCTGCTAAGATCAGAAACAAGACAAGGATGTCCACTCTTACCACTTTTATTCAACACAGTACTGGAAGTCCTAGCCACAGCAGTCAGACAATAAAAAGAAATAAAAGGCATCCAAATTGGTAAGGAAGAAGTAAAACTTACCCTCTTTGCAGATGACATAATACTGTGTATAGAAAAGACTCTGCCAGAAAACTGCTGGAACTGATACGTGAATTCAGTAAGGTTGCAGGATACAAAATCAGTGTATAGAAATCTGTTGCATTTCTATACACCAATAATGAAGCAACAGAAAGCTAAATTAAGAAACAATCTTATTTGGGCGCCTGGGTGGCTCAGTGGGTTAAAGCCTCTGCCTTCAGCTCAGGTCATGATCCCAGGGTTCTGGGATCGAGTCCCACATCGGGCTCTCTTTCTCCCTTTTCCTGGGCTTCTCCTTTCTGCAGCTGTTGCTCCTTTCACTGACTCTGTCCTTGCCTCTGCTTCCTCCTTGTTCAACCCCTGCTGATCGGGCTGCCTCTTTTGCCTCAGCTTCTTCTTCTCTTGTGCTTGTCCTTTCTGCAGCTATTACTCCTTTTGCTGACTCCACCCCTTTGCTTCATCCTCTTTCAGTGGCTGCTGATTCTGCTGCTTATCTGCTGATCCTTATCTGTTTTTCCTTTTCCTACTGATGCTTTTCCTGAGTCTGCTGCTCTTTCTGCTGATGCTGATTTCCCTTCTGCCACATATGTTGATCCAGCCGCTCTTGCTTCTCCTTGCTGTTTTACTTTTTTGCACATCATTTCTGGCTCCTTTCAAACTTAACTTTTATATGGCCCTCAGTAGCTACTCGAACCCTGACTGTGTCTTATGGCTCCACTCATAACTACTCCAGTGTCTCATCGTGTCGTTTTCAAATTAGCCTCCTTCTAAAACAAAACAAAACAAAACAAAACAAAACAAAACACAAAAATTATGTGCATAAACAATGAATTTTGGATCACTGAAAAAAATAAAATTAAATTTAAAAAATTATGGTAAAGCTATGTACTATCGTAGAGAGCTGAATAACCTGGATATTAGCTGTATCGTAGGTGCTCACCCCTGGAGCCGTCAACCATGGCCCAGGCTGCAGAGTCAGTGCTGGGGGGAGAGGGCTGCAGGCACCGAGGGACTTTGTGGTCGTTTGAAGGGACCATGCCCAAGTAGGCAATAGTTCCCTTCTTTTTTGGAAGTGAGTGAATGAGTAATGAGGCAATAATGTGGATCAGTTACTCTTTTTAGAAAGTTGGATGAAGTACCCACAGGTGATGATGGAGGACAACTAAGTAGTAATGTGGGATGTGTCTGTCCGGATAAGAGGGGGCAACTGGAGGCGAATAGGAAAGAGAAGGACAGAAGGAGCAGGCTTCTGTAACAGATGGGGTTGAGGTTGAGAGCACAGAATTGAAGGCCCGACTGCAGTTGCAGGTGTGCTACCAAATCGTTTGAAACTGGAAAGAGGGAAAGTTGGCATTTCCCCCTCTCACGGTGCTGTCAAGGTGTCTCACTAATTTGTTTCCTTTCTGTCGCAGGTCCCGAGTCTGTGCCTCCTTCCCTTCTCAAAGTCGTGATGAAACCCATCGCAGCTGTCGGAGAAAGCTACCAGTATCCTCCTGTGAACTGGGCCGCACTCCTCTCTCCACTTATGAGGCTAAACTTTGGTAAATATCAAATGTTTTTAGGCCTTTGGACCCTGCTTTTAGGATGTGACCTGAATAGAAAGAGAGATTCTGGGTCACAGTCGGTGGTGACTGCAGAGACCTTTGGGATCTTGAGGTTTGTCTTCTTGGATGGAAGAGCTGGGTTACTTCCACCGAGTCACTTTCTAGATCGCTGAGGCTGAGCAGGAGGAGGAGGTCTGAGGACACAGGCCAGGTGCGCTCATCAAAGCAGTACTTGGCTGACGTGTGCCTGTTGCTGCGTGTGTGGTGCAGGTCTGATGGTCATCACACTGCACAGAAAGCCCGGTTTGATGGTCATCACACTGCACAGTGAGAGCTCTAGGATTCAAGGAAGCGCCCCGTGGTATGGAGCATTAGTTTTCTGTTGCTGCTGGAACAAGTTACCACAGATTTAGTGGCTTGAAGCGCTGCAAATTTATCAGCTTATAGTTCTGTCGATCAGAAGTCCAGCATGGTTCTTGGCCATGACATCTTTCTTTCCTAGATGCCCTGAGGAGTGCTATGGTCTGTGTTTTTGTCCCCCCAAAATTCGTATGTAGAAATCCTAATCCCTAGTGTGTTGGTATGTGGGGCCTTTAGGAGGTAAGTTGGTCATGAGTATAGAGCCCTCAGAGGCCCCCGAGAGCTCTTCAGCCCCTCCTGCAGTGTGAGGACACAGCGAGAGTTGGCGTTCTACAGCTGGGGACACAGGGTTCCACCAGAACCTGACCATCCTGGCACCCTGATCTTAGACTTCCAGCTGCCAGAATGATGAGAAGCATATTTCTGTTGTTTATAAACCAGCCGTTTTGTGATATTTTGTTAGAGCAGCCCAAGCAGACGAAGGCAGGGAGAATCTATTTCTCTCCCTTTCCCAGCTTCTAGAGGCTGCCCACATTCCTTGGCTTGTGTCCCCCTGTTTCTTCATCTTCAAAGCCTGCGACGGAGAGCCACAACCTTGTCACACTGTCCTCTTTCTGGTTCCTTACAACCGGGAAAGGTTTTCCACATTAAAGACTCATGTGATTAATGGGTCCATTTGCATAATCCAGGATAATCTCCCCACCTCAGCAGTCCTTAACCTCAACCACTTCTCAGAAGTTCCTCTGCCAAGCAGGGTAACACAACAGAGTCACAGCTCCAGGCATTAGGATGGCGGCATCTTTAAGGGCCGATGTTCTCTTTACCACAGACACTTTGTGAGGAGAGACAGAGGGAGCACACACCTCTCATTCACCTACCACAGCCTCTTTTATGATGTTAGTGTATGCAGATTTAATCCCATGTACTTGCCCCCCCCCCACCTCAAGAAAAAGATTGGGGAGAACCACTTTTTAACAGTGCTGTATTACTCTGTGTGTGTGTATTTGCAGTGTTTGCTCTGTTGTTTACATTGGGGTGCTCGCTTACATATGATATGCAGAAAGACTTGTAAACTGTAATTTATGTACAACTGAAAGGATAATCAAAGATGATTTTTGACTATACACAGTTTTTGCACTTAAATGCTTTGATTTTAACCTAATACCTCTATAACTACGATGTCACTGTAACGTGTTTCTGGAGATTTCGTTTGAAAAGTATGTTCTCCCGAGCCTCCCCTGTTTTTATGTGCTATATTAAAGATGTTCGTGTTTTAGTATAAATCCTTAGAGAAAAGAAGAAAAGGTCTGGTTGGGAAAATATGCCTGCTGATGGGAATCGGGCTAATAAAAGTCTGGGTTGCAAGAGAATGTGGTGACCATTTTTTTTTTAAGATCTCTATTTATTTACTTGACACAGAGGGAGAGATCACAAGTCTGCAGAGAGTCAGGCAGAGAGAGGGGGGAAGCAGGCTCCTCAATGAGCAGAGAGCCCGATTCGGGGCTTGATCCCAGAACACTGAGACCATGACCTGAGCCGAAGGCAGAGGCTTAACCCACTGAGCCACCCAGGCGCTCCATGTGGCTACAATTTTAAGTCCTTCCAGACATAAACAGATTTCTCTGTCTTCAGAATGAAAGGTGGAGAGGAGGGGAAAACAGAGACAGGGAATTTATCTAGAATTTTTCTCAAGTTTTTGTTAGTATTAGATTCTTTAGATTTCTTAGGACATCACAAGAGAAATTTCCTGAGCAAGATTATGGCCCTTGCCAGTTCCAAGACTTACCCCTCTGCTGCCAGTGGGTACAATCTTTGCTTCATAGTGGAAAGGTCACTTGGCATATCTTTTGGTTCACTCAAGTACTGTTACTGGGAGAAGTCATACCAGCAGATGCTTTGATTTGAGACATGGAAGCCTAACAGTGAGTCCTAGGAGCAGCTGTATTACCTATATTCTTGTCTTCTCTTGCAGGGGAAGAGATCCAGCAACTGTGCCTTGAAATTATGGTGACACAGGCGCAGTCATCCCAGAATGCAGCTGCGCTCTTGGGACTGTGGGTGATGCCGCCGCTAATCCACGGTCTGAGCGTAAGTCAAATTTAAGGATGCTGGGCAGCAGGCGGATACGGTTCTTTTGGGGGAGAGGAGCGCTCATTGCTGTGTGCATTCTTAAAGTCAAGAATGGACAGATGTGATTTTCTAAAACTCGGGGCCTTGGCGGTCGCTGGCCAGCAGACTGGGAGAGTTTGTGATTCAGACCTCTGCCCTAGCCATTGGCGTTTGTGCTTTCGGCTCCCGTTGATTACGAAAAAGGAAAATGATGGCCAGAGATAAAGTTCCTTTCTCCAGATCGTACAGCTAGAAAATCGTGGTGTTATTGAAACCTCGGCTTATCTCTAGGATATGCAGTATGTTGGTTCAGTGGGTGTTAAGAGAATGGCAAATCCATATATGATTCCTCCCTTTCACAGAAAAGGCAGCAATTCAGGTGGGCCCTGAAGGCTTGGGAAGGTTTTGTTAGGCATCAAGTTAGAGGCACGGGGCGGGGTGCTGGTGCGGGGGGGATGTAGGTGAAGGGGGGAGAACATCTCTGCCGGGATGTGTGGCTTGAGCAAAGTGCTGAGGAAGAAGTAACATAGCCCAGTATCTATGACAGAAGGAGCCAGATTGTTTAAAAATGCAAAATTAACAAATTGTATAAATTTGAATGTATTCAAAGCTAGGACCAAACAAAGCAAAAAAACCCCTACATTCCATGATTCCTTAGAGGTTTACCAATTGATCCTAAGTTAATTGATCCTGTTATTCTTCAGGAAGCTTTAATTCCTTGAGAATAGTGTAAAGTTCTCATATTTGTTCCTCGGTCTTTTAACTTCAGTTCCTCTCCCGCCCTTTTGTCTTCTAAGCTCTGCTGTGTATTCTCGTGCTCCTTAATTGAAGGGGGACAGACTGAGGGCTGCGTCCCCGTGTCAGCAATGACCCTGAGGTGTCTGGCCCAAGCACCTCCCATCCGGCTGCCAGTACCCGGTGCTTGCTAGGTACCCGCTACTTGTAAGCACTCAGTGAGCAGTTTTGGACAGCAGACTGAATCTCTCTCCAATTCTGGCAGATTCTTTTTTCAACCTTGAGTTATAATTTATAGTCCATAAAGTATGGCTGTGTTGAGCATACAATTTGATGAGTTCCAGGACATTTATACATTTTTGTCCATCCCCAGTAATATTTCTATCACCCCCTCCCCAAAACTGCTTTGTCCCCACCTGGAGACGATCCCCACTCCCAGTCTCAGACCCAGGCTACCTCTGATCTGCTTTTGTTCTCTATAGTTTTTCTCTTTTTAGAGAACTTTCCTAATAAATTTCAATTTCATATAAGCTTTAGAAATTCTTTAGAAAGGCATCATACAATATGAAGTCTTTCATGCCTGGCTTATTTCATTTCTGAGAAGTCCAGTTTTTTTGTTTCCATTTTACAAGTTGATAAACTGAGGCAGGTTGCAATTAAACAAAATTTATATTGCCAATAAACAGAGTGAGTCCGGCTGACTCCAAATCTGTGTCTAAGACACTGTTCTGTGAACCTCTCCTTCCTTTTGAGTCAGGTATACCTCGAACAGCCTGTCTTGTTTACCTCAAAAATCTTTCTAGAACTTAGTTCTCCTCCCACTTCCCTGTTACTTTTTTGGCATTTGTCCGTGGTTGTGGACTCTCTTATTATCTATGTTAATGAACAAATGAAGTTTGTGAATTCATTTTCTTAATTATATATCTTCTCATTTATAAAAAAGATCAGGAATGGCATGTTCTTTCCAGTGAACTGGTTGGCTAACTCATGCAGCCATGCTGATACTTTTTTGAAATTTACTGGGCTGTGTCAGGTTTTCTTTCCTTTTTTTTTTTTTTTTTAAGACCACTTCTTTCCGACTCGCTGCTCCTTTGGTAGCATACCTGTGTTCCTAAGAGCTTCTCGGCCTCCTCTCTTAACATGTCTGGCACACAGCTGTGTTCAAACTGTGCCCCCTTTTCAGCTCTCATGACCTCCAGAAAGCCAAGGTCATGTCCCCATTTGTGTGGTCAGCAATGGTCCTGGCCTGCCAGTCCCTTTGATTTCCTTATGTTTCCTGGAAGAAGAAATTAATAATATCAGGTATTCCGATGAGTCCATTTCCTGCAGAGGAGCCTTTCATCTTCAGGATTTTGGTTCTTGCCAGAGAATGTGACCTTTTAAGACTGAACAGCAGCTGTCATGTATGTCAAGAAGTAGCCCAGTATTTTCCTCCTTGTGAAAAGACCCGTGGATTAAGCGGAGTGGTTCACGGGTGGATCAGCAGATGCTGTCTATACCCACGAGTCACTGTGCGTCACAAGTCCTGGTAGCAGCAGCCAAAATTGCATGCATTGGTGGCCCATTGGACCACGAGGCTGGGGGCCCTGTGGGGCCAAGAAGTAACGCGAACCTTTCTTCTCTCATCCTGCCCTCAAACACAGGGACAGCCTCAAGGTTTTGAGCACCGCGAACCCAGATGTGCCTGTTTTTGACCTCTTTTCTTTCGCTTCCAGGTGAATATCAAGAAGTACCTCCTGGTGTCCACGCCTCTGTGGGTAAAACACGTCTCTGACGAACAGATCCGGGGCTTCGTTGAAAATGTGATGGTGCCCGTTTGTAGAGCCGCTTCCCCGCCTACGTTGCGCACGAGCGCCCTGCAGGGGCTGGGTCAGGCCATGAAGCTGCCCAGCCCCACCCACCACCTCTGGAGTCTGCTCTCTGAAGCTACGGGAAACATTTTTGACCTTCTGCCAAATAAGATTCGGGTGAGGAACAAAAATATTTACACTCCCGACAATTTATGTTTGGGATTTTTGAAAGCCCTTTTGGCAAAGCAGGTAGGTGTATGTTTTAAGAATGTGGCAGGAAGGCTAGGAAGAAATAACCGCATTTTTCACAAGGAATGTGTTCGCTTCCAAGATCTAAATTGAGGTTGAATATTTAGAACCAAAGTTGGGAGCAAGCTGAGCCCTGGGTTACCGAGTGCTACACCAGGAAATACGCCCTTGGGCTTTTTACCAAATGCAGAAGATGAGTGGGCTCAGAAGTGCTTCCACATTGCGCCTGGAAACTCGTTGGGCACAATGGTCCTGTATTTTGCTTATATGAAGTGATGTAATCCTAGCCTTTCCCCTCCCCCAACAGATTCCTGAATTGTAGTTTTACAAAGAAATTAAAAAATCTCTTTGGAACGATGGATTCTGATAAGAGGAAAAAAGTACAGCCACACAAATAAGTACAGCCACATAAATAAAATAATAGGAAAGGTGGTTTTTGTTCTGTTTTTCAGTAAGCTCTATGCCCAGTGTGGGGCTTGAACTCATGACTCTGTGATCAAGCGTCACCTGCTCTACCTACTGAGCCAGCCAGGCCACCCAAGAAAGATGTTTTTTTTAAATGATAAAAATTGGCTATATATTTGGTTTGATTAATGTCTCATAAGCTGCTGTTCATGGAAATAAGTAAATCTAATAATTCGTCAGAACATGGAGACTATATCTGTTATGTTACCTTGTGTTTTGACGTGTTTGTGATTTTTCTTTGCCAGAGAAATGATCTAGAGCTCTATGTCAGTGTAGCAAAATGCCTCTCAGAAATGACAGATGATGAAGCCAATCGGGTTGCCCAGATTACGGAGGTAAGAATGTATTTATATATTTATTTCCATTACTGAAGTGGGGGTTACAATTGAAGAGGTGACTACAGTATCCTTTTGACGGAAGCTAGTTTTGCTTCATATCTGTTAGTAGTTCATTTGAGGAAGCTCTCTGTGTTCACTGTGGGATCTCGTGTTCAGGCTAGTGGTATGGATGGATAGATGGATGAACAACATTTTAACCTAATTCCACTTCGTCAAGATCATGTTCGTGTCACCTATGGGCAAACATAAGTACAGGACAACGTCTTCAATAAAAATCCCTAAGAATGGGAATATTCTGGCTGAAGAACTTTCTGGTGCATGGAAGGCATAAATAAGTAGTTCTTAAAATTGATTTTCTTTCACCTGGTACTTATTATCCTTTTGTAATGAAGAGAGGTGTCTATTTGAAAAACAAACACTATTAGCCCAGACACAAGATAATTAACAGATACTCCTTTTTTTTTTTTTAAGATTTTATTTATTTATTTGTCAGGGAGCACAAGCAGGGTGATCAGCCGGCAGAGAAAGAGGGAGAAGCAGCCTCCCCACTGAGCAAGGAGCCCGATGTGGGACCCGATCCCAGGACTCTGGGATCGTGACCTGAGCCAAAGGCAAACGCTTAACCAGCTGAGCCTCCAGGGGTCCCAACAAGTACTCCTTTTACTCACACCCAAAGGATGAATGAGTAACATACCAGCAAAGTTGCACATTTAGCTAGTGTAATACATGTCTTGTTAGATTTGAATTGCCTATAAACAGTGAAATTTTTTTTTAGTATAAGTATATTCCAGTGGACATACTTACACAAATGCCAACTCTACATACCAGATGATAGCAAAGATATAGAGAACTGTGAGCCCTCACCCAGCTGGTAGACCTCTTACCATTTATTTCACCTGATGACAGGTGTTGAATCCTTGAATTGCTGCATTGTATAGCCGTGATTCTCAAAATGTGTTCCTTGGGCCAGCAGCATAAGCATGGTGACTGATTAGAAATGAAAGTTCTGGATTCCCACTTCAGCCAGGTCTACTGAGTCAGAGGTGGGGTCCAGGAGTCTGTGTTTTAATAGTCCCTCCAGGTGATAGTGTTGCATCCTGAGGTTTGAGAACTCCTGTTAGAGTATTTGGAATGTCAGCATTTTGGAGATTAGTTTGTTTTAAGGAAAGACAAGCAGTCTAAGGAAATGCTTAAGAGAGTGGACTATGCTGGGGATTGAAATCCAGCTCTGTGATTTACTAGCAATGTGACCTTGGTTACATTTCATAATCTCTCTCTGCCTCGGTTTCCTTATCTATAGAAGGGAGATATTAACACCTACTTCCCAGAGTTGTTTTGAGAGTTACAGTGACTTAATCCATGGTAGGTTCTTGTAAAAATATCTGACATAAGGCTGGTACTCAGTGATTATTTGTTATCCTTATGATCACATTCATGTAATTTATTATATCCTGTTATTATTATATTCATGTAATACAGTTGGAAGTAATGCATATAATTTCCTTCGTGGTACCTGGAGCTGAACATTGCTGGGTTACTCACCCAAGTTCCTTTTTTTTTTTTTGAGATTTTATTTTTATTCATTTGACAGAGAGAGATCACAAGTAGGCAGAGAAGCAGGCAGAGAGAGAGGAGGAAGCAGGCACCCTGCTGAGCAGAGAGCCCGATGCGGGACTCGATCCCAGGACCCTGAGATCATGACCTGAGCCAAAGGCAGAGGCTCAACCAACTGAGCCCCCCAGGTGCCTCCTCACCCAGGTTCTTAAAGTACCACTTAGAACATTTTTGCTAGAACTTAGCTGAATAGTGTTCTTATGCTCCCAAAAGAGTTAGTGCATTTTACTGAGGTCAATGTCTTCTGTTCTTTTCTGGAAAGAATAAAGTAGTGAAGGGCTCAGACTCCTTGAGTTTCAGTTCTTACTCTGCCTCGAGCCATGTGACCGTAAGCAAGTTACTTAACGTCTGTGCTTACTACCATCCTCTACAAAGGAAGGATGATGGTTGTCATCTGCGTAGGGTGGTGTGAAAATTCAGTGGTTCGTACAGGACTTCTCACACTTTCTGGTCTCAAGACTACTTTAGTGTCTTACAAACTGTTGAGGGCTCCAAAAGACTGTAATTTAAATTATCATATCTTTCAATATTTACCATGTAAGAAATTAAAACTGGGAAATTTAAAAAATATTGACTTAAAAGTAATAATAAACCCATTGCATCTTAACACAAATAAGAAAAAGTTTTGAAAACAAAAAATGGTATTGTTTTCCATTTTTGCAAACCTCTTTAATGTCTGGCTTAATGGAAATCTCTTTAATGTTGAACTCTCATAGCTGCTGCTTCATTCAGTCTGTGGTGGTATTTTGGTGAAGTATGTGGGGAAGATCCAGCCTCATACAAATATGTCAGTAGAAAAGGGAAGAGTGTGTTGATAGTTTCAAACAGTTATGGATATCTTTTTTTGTTTGTTTTGATATTGCAACAGAACTCAACAAACGGTGTTTCCTTCAGGGTAGTTGGCACTATGTGGAGTCTGAGTCCCTATCAGTGAACTTCACATAGTCTGTTGTATTAAAACCCGTTGGTCCAACTTCTGCTCCGGGTATGATATCACAAAATCATTTGGAAAATACTGAATCACTGAGTTTTGAAAATCTTCCAAATGTTGATGCATTTCATTATACACTACCAAACATCACACTTGTTAAAATCATCAGAAAAGTCTTTTATGTATTGGGAAACTGCCAATTCACAGTAGCAAATACAATTTTTTCCCGAAAGTCTAATTGTCCCTTGAAAGCTCAGATTTTATCACTGCTAACAAATACTGTGAAGTATTTCCTTGAAGTGACAGTCTCACTTTCTTCTACTTAAAAAAAAAAAAAAAAAAGTCCGTCAAATACTCAGTTTGAATAGCCATCATTGGTCCATCAGTCATCCTTCCAAGTAGATGTGTCCCGAAAAACGTGGCTATTTCAGTTCACAGCCCAGACTTAGGGTTTTCCCTCGAGACAACCATAATACTTGGCTAGGCACCAGAAGTCCCTTATGCATGCTTGCCATTTTATCAATCTTTTGTTAAAAAGATGTATACTCAAGGGCAAAGGTTTAATGACACTAATAATTTTTATTGTTTATAAGGGTATTTTAGATAAAAGTTATTTTAAACAAAAATTGCAAGTGGCTGTGAAAAATGCAGTGACTCTTACTGTGACCTCGGTGCTGCTGTAAATATACTTTGACCTCACAGAGCCTCTAAAAGGGTCTTGGGGTCCCTTGGAGGTCTGTGCACTGCACTTTGCGAACTGCCAAATTAATCCGTGTTAAGTGCTTAGAGTGGTGCGTGGCACACGAGTCCTGTGTTTTTCAGTTATCATCATCATCATCATCATTATTTTGTACAAATACACAAATACACACATTATTTTGTATTTCATTATTATTTGCGTATCTGTACAAAATATCATCACCAATTAACCCCTGAAATCACTGACGGTTTTTAGGAGAAAACAGGAGGTGACATTATAACGCTCTATCTGTATATTCATTTTAAAATACAGCACGCAGGCAGACAGGCCACATGCCGCAGGAAATGAGCGGTTTTAGCATTTGGAATAATAATCAACTTTCAACTCACCCTTTCTGTTTTGCCCTTGCCCCGAGGTTTTATAATGACTTCAACTAATTTAATAGTAACCGAACAATTTGCTTTTTTGCAGAGCAGCCTAGAAAAGGCTGCCTTTGTCAGACTGTACTTGGTCTCTCAAGGACGATTCCCCTTGATGGGCTTGATGGAGATTCTCAGTGCGGCCATCCAGCACCGGGAGAAAGACACCCTGGCATGGATGGTACTACACAGCCTCTACCAGGCGCGGATCGCGAGCCACGCCAACACAGGTGAGGCCGGCCTGGGGAACCAGCAGGACCAGAAGGATCTGCCATCCCTTTTAACCTGTAACTGTTTCCTCCACTAAAAAGGGAGTTTAGTGCTTCGAGACCCAGGAGAGCTCTTGTTACCCCAAAGGAAGAGCACCTTAAATGAAAAGACCAGTTAAAACTCAACAACCTCCACCCTGGGGATGGGAATGGGTTCTGTTGGTGATTTTTATTATTATCTTTAGCTGTCCAGGCCCTCGAGTCCATAAACGAGTGGATCGGGTCGATTCTGCCTGCTTCCATTTCCCAACCAGGATGTCCATCGATTCTGCCTGATGTTTTCAGGAAAATGACTTTGAGGTGGTTACCTAACAAACAAAAAGAGGAAAACAGCGACAACAAAATTAAATTGTTATTCTGTAGGAGAACTTCTCAAGGGTGAGGGGAATAAAATTGGGATTCCCTCACTACATCCTCAAGCCAGAAGCTCTAGGCCTGCAGCTCTGTTAATGAATCATATGGTGGAACTTTTTTTTTTTTTAAGATTTTATTTATTTATTCAACAGAGAGAGAGAGAGAGATCACATATAGGCAGAGAGGCAGGCAGAGAGAGAGAAGAGGAAGCAGACTCCCCGCTGAGCAGAGAGCCTGATGCAGGGCTTGATTCCAGGACCCTGGGATCGTGACCTGAGCCAAAGACAGAGGCTTTAACCCACTGAGTCACCCAGGTGCCCCATATGGTGGAACTTTTAGATCATCATAGACCTTTACTCTTGAATAATAATGAGCTCTGCCATTTCTCCACCTGAGCCTTTGGTCACATTGCTTATGGCCTACAGTCAGGTCTGAACGGCACCTGCTTCAGTAGATCAGGTATGGCGGGGAACTCCTAGTGACCGCAGGTAGGTTACTTACATTTCTGGATTTTTTGTATGTTCCTCAGTTCTTGATGAGGAAAACTGGCAGACATAATTGTAATACCCTTTTTGGGACTAGATAGGAAATTTTGATTTATTCTTCTCTTTGGCGGTTGAGATGGTTGTCTCATCTCTGCATCAGTGCCTGCTGATGAAAAATGAACCTGTGATGAAAAACTATTTTTTTTTTTTACTCTAAATCAAAAGTGTGTTTATCAGGAAGAAGTCTAGTAGGTACTTCCAAGGAAGCGTGAAGATAACGTGAAGTAAACTGAAATAAATCTGATATTGTCTTTGGTTTTAACTAGTTGGCCTTCCAGTTTAGTTCCCGTTTTCCTCTGACTCACTGAAATTTGACAGCCTTCCCAAGTAAGCTTTATTGTGCTGGGAACCCTCATTTTTAAAAAATAAAAACGGAAGAATCAGTATTTATGCCAATGTTTGTTCTCCAGTTACTATATAATAGCTGGTTTTTATTTTTCTTCTGATATCTTTGGGTAGGTTTTCTCTTTGATTTTGGCATAAAATGGGAACATGTAAGTAAAGAAGACCATAAAAACAACTAACTAGCCAAGAGTCAACGTTCTGGCTAGCTGGCACGCCAGATTTCTCCTAGTGTGTTTAACCTTGAGAGAGAGAAACTCCAACAAATGCATTTTATCATTAGCAGATGTGTACTTTTTTTTTTTTAAAGATTTTATTTATTAATTTGACAGAGATCACAAGTAGGCAGAGAGGCAGGCAGAGAGAGAGAGGAGGGGTAAGCAGGCTCCCTGCTGAGCAGAGGGCCCGATGCGGGACTCGATCCCAGGACCCCGGGATCATGACCTGAGCTGAAGGCAGAGGCTTTAACCCACTGAGCCACCCAGGCACCCAGCAGATGTGTACTTTTGAAAAATAAATTATCTTTTTGAAAATAAAGGCAAAACTACATTTATCTGATGTGAATAGTGTCAGAGAACTCCTACAAAATCCCAAGTCTCAGGTATGGCAAAAGGATTTGCGACTGTTTCATGGAATCCTCAGCTGTTCTGCTTTCATCATGGTGGCTAGTACTGACCTATTAGACATTTCATAGGAAAACTGTGGTCTGGTAAGAAAATATCTCTTTTTGTTTCAGGTGTGTTGAAGAGAATGGAATGGCTCTTGGAGCTGATGGGTTATATCAGAAATGTTGCGTACCAGTCAACATCTGTTCAGAACGTGGCTCTTGATGAGGTACAGTCTAGAGGAGTCATTTGTGGCTCCCTTAAAATGTGGAACTTACGTTTGCTCTCCCAAAAGACAAAGAAGTTGCTGCTTGCCTTTGTTTTTCCCCCTCCTTCCTTTTACTTTGGGTAAATCTGGTGATAATTCTCTGACGTCATAAGGAAATGGATGTGCTTGCCTGTCTCTTGGAGACACCCAGGGCTGCCCTTGGAAAAATATTTTCAACAGAATAAGTTTCTTGATAGGCAGCACACAAGGACACTAGCTGATGAGGGAACCCAGCATTCTGTGTACTTGTGCTTGACCCCACAGAGAGGAGGTACAGGGCTCTGGCCTTCGCACTGGCCCAGAGAATGTCTTCAAACGTCTGGTTTGAAGAGGTACCTGAAGTATGCAAGTGATCTGTGTTTGCACAGCATGAGAGGGGTAAAATGATCTATGACCCCCAGAAGGTTAGCTACTGATAAGGAGTAAATTAAAATAGGAAAAGGTTAATAAATGAAGATAGCATGTTCCCATCTTCTTATTTTCTTGACTTTGCTAACCACTGTGCATTTTTTAGTAGAATTTTTTCCGTAGGCATGTTTCACAGGTGTCCTGTTTACTGTGTGGGTGGAATTTGTATAACCTGGGATGTCATTTGAAGTTCTGACCAGCTTTTCTGAAGAGTTGTGTATATTTTTGAAATTTTAATTAATGAAATTATGACTTTTAAGAAATTAAGGAGTACTTTTAAACTTTTTTTTAACTAGTAGAATCTGTCATCTTTTTTTTCTGATCTCCTAAGTTTTTGTTAATTTTCTGTTTTCTTACAAAAAATCTTTTGAAACTTAGAAAATACAGATAAGCAGAAAGAAGTATAATTTGAATCACAGTAATCCAACAACTCAGAGGGGCCTCTTGTTACCACCATTTTATAAGTGTGTAGATTAGTCTAAACTCTGAATGGATGGATCCTAGACAGCGTATTAAAAATACATGTGGAGGGCGCCTGGATGGCTCATTTGGTTGGGCGACTACCTTCAGTTCAGGTCATGATCCTGGAGTCCCAGGATCGAGTCCCGCATTGGGTTCCCTCCTCAGCGGGGAGTCTGCTTCTCCCCCTGGCCCTACCCCCCTCTTGCTCTCTCTCTTTCCCTCTCTCTCCCCCTCTCATTCTCTCCTTCAGATAAGTAAAATCTTTAAAAAAAAATGCATGTGGAAATATACAGACTGAGAAGATGGCAGCATAGGAAGACCCTAAGCTCACCTCATCCCACAGGTACAACTAGATGTCAGTGTGAATAACCCAGGAAATGACCCGAAGGCTGGCAGAACAAACTCCTCAACTAAATGTAGAGAAGATGCCACATTGAAGAGGGTAGGAAGGGCGGAGACATGCTGGGGAGCTAAATGGACCATGGGTGTGGAAAAGGGGAAGAAGAAGGCTATCGCACTGGGGAGCCCACATGGGGAAGATGAATCCCCATAATATTGGGCTTTGAAAACTAGAGGGGGTAAAGTTTAGTGACTTACTACAATCAGCAGGACTTAAAGCCTGCAACTTTAAAAATCAGCAAGTTGGGTTCTGGGAGAACCTGGCCACTGAGAAGAAACTGAGTCCCTGCCCTTAAAGAGACAGCATAAGAAACAGCCTGTGGAGATACAACATAGGAGCAGTGAATTTTGGAACACTGAAAAAAATTTAAAAAAAAGGGGGGGGGGAATGTCTAGGGCACAGGGAGGAAGAGTTATTTACTCATCTCAGAGCCTGTCCCAGAGCGGTAATGTTCACAGGGAGTATCCTCCAAGAACAGAGGAACTACTAGGTGTCATTTCCCTCCCCTGCCTCCCAGCATAAACACGTGGCCACCTGCAGCCACCTGCAGGAACCAGTTTAGCGCCCACATTTGCTACCTAGCTTGCTTACACTACTCCCTGCCTCCCCACTCCTCCCCAGCTCTGGGGATTTGCCCACTCCAGCTGGGCTTGCCTCAGTCCCAGCGCTGTGGATCCCCTCCCTGAGAAGACCTGCTCACATTTTGCAAACCACGCACTATGTGGGGGCCTCGGCAGTGGTGGTGGCAGCCAGTACCCTCTCATGGAAGATGGGCGAATGCCTTGTTAAGCTGTGTGCCCACCTGCTCACTCTTTGTGGATCCACACGGGCTGGCCCTGTGGTGGTGGTAGGTCTCCTTTCACAGCAAACCCGAGTGCACCTTGGTAAAAATCCATGCCCTACCCCTGTATGCTTTATGGATTGGCCCAGCCACTGTGGTCTCAGAGGTAGCGTCATGTCCCCTCTCCCTGGTGCACAAACCTGTGGGCTCTGCAAACCTCCCTCCTGAGCACATGGCAGATCCTCCTCCTCCAATATGCTGTTGGCCAAAGCCCATTCAAACCGAAGCACAAGCCACAAGAAAAGTGTGCTAGCAGCCTGGACAGGGACCAGCACCACGCCAAAGTGATTCCTGTCCTGGGGAGAGAGAAAGATAAGCACCACATTGGTCAGGCTTTGGCCTCCACCATGGGTTGGGGACAGACAATTCGTCTGATCGTGGGCCCTGCCCACCAATGAAGGCTTCTCAGGGGACAACACAGGGAAGGTGCTCTGTGGTTCGGTGCTATTGCATCTCTGCCAAACACTTGGTCTGGCTCAACTCAAGCACAAGGCAGCACCAGCCTGGCCCACTAACAACATAGGAGACCCCCCTGAAGCGCCAGGTTCTGGTAAACAGGGGAAAGTGCCCTGAAGAGCACCACAGGTCTTCTTCATAAAGCCACTACTTTCAAGAGCAGGAGACATAGCTGACTTTCCTAACACACAGAAACAGATGCAGAGAGTTAGACAAAATGAGGAGATAGGGGAATATATCTCAGATGAAAGAACATGACAAAACCACAGTAAGGGTCCTAAACACAATGGAGATAAATAATATGCCTGATAGAGAATTTAAAGTAATGATTATAAACTTTTTTAAAGATTTTATTTATTTGACAGAGAAATCACAAGTAGGCAGAGAGGCAGGCGGGGGGCCGGGGCAGCAGCCTCCCTGCTGAGCAGAGAGCCCGATGCGGAGCTCAATTCCAGGACCCTGAGATTGTGACCTGAGCCAAAGGTAGAGACTTAACCCACTGAGCCACCCAGGTGTCCTTAAAGTAATGATTATAAAGATGCTCACTGGACTTGAGAAA